CCCTGGATCATGCACCTTCATTGTATTGCTCCCATCACAGGCTGAAGACACCACCACTTTGGCTTCGCGTGTGCAGAGGAGGGCAACTAGGATGATCTAGAAGCTAAGCCTAGATGACCCTCGGGTCCCTTACAACTCTATGATTCTATGATCCAAGAGACACGTTTTTCAGGTCACAGCAGATCGCTGTGACTGTAAATTGTTTTGAACTGCTTTTAGCATTGATTTTTTTCCCTTTATTACGGTCCAGAGACCCAACAAATTGTTACAAAGCAATGCACAATTCAGACAGCCTACCTCCAGGTTAAACAAGCATTTTGTTCAGACTTAAAGACAGGGATCATTGGTTCTTGCAACCACCGATAAAAACTTTGCCACTGCTAATGTTCTAGCGTTTGTCCGGTCTTCCAATAGGAACCTGACATAATGAGCCTCTGATTTTCCCAGGAAAGGTACCAGCAAGGGTAATATCAGTTCAGCCTTGGCTTGCTCATGTTTCGCAGCAAAATATGTTTTATAGAATCGATGTCTTGAGCACATGAGCAAAGTCTGTCCTGGTAGGGAACTCCTCTCAACCTGCCATCCAACACTGCAGAAGGAAAGACGTTTAGTCTGGCTTTGGTGAACAACCTTAGATAATTTGGTACTGAATTTTAAATTTCTGTAGTCCACTGAGGGACGTTAGGGTGAAGAAATCAAATTAAGAGAAGTAAGAGAAATAACCTTCTTTTTCTCATTTATTCAACAGGTAAAAGGTGGGTGGGCATACCTGAGGGAGAGAGATACACACCTGAAGATGTTGAGGGGTTTTCCGGAGGGAGAGCAGAGGAGGAGAACTTTTCCTCGTCCTCTGTCGTCCCCTTCTCCTTGTGCCCTCCATCTTTCCCAACATCAGGGTCTTTTCCAGGGAGTCTTCTCTTCTCACGAGGTGGCCAAAGTACTGGAGCCTCAGCTTCACGATCTGTCCTTCCAGTGAGCACTCAGGGCTGATTTCCTTCAGAATGGACCGGTTTGATCCTCTTGCAGTCCATGGGACTCTCAAGAGTCTCCTCCATCACCAGAATTCAAAAGCATCAATTTCCCAACTCCTACTTGCATGCAAGCAGGAGCGGGGCGGGGATCTCTCAGCTGTGAAGGGAGGCTTCACGCTGCCTATCGGAGCTTGCGTGCAAGCAGGAGGGGGCAGGATCTCTCAGTTAGGCAACGGGAAGCCTCCCTTTCCAGCTGAGGGATCCCTGCTCCCTCCTGCTAGCACGCAAGTAGGAATGGGATTGGGGCTGCTCCGATGGGATGGGAGGCATCGTGCTGCCTGAGCCTCGCCGCTGCTGCTGCTCTTGGCCCTCCTCCGCCTTGTATGCCAGACCCACTGCGCACTGCTTCCCCACCACCACCACCGAAGAACGTACAACTTAGGGCCTGCCCAGGCTCATGGAGAAAGGAGAAGGGGAAACATGGCGGTTGAGGTCAAGGCGGTGGACGCCCCTCTGCCAGCCCACCGCCATCGCTGCAGTAGCAACATCCCAAACGTGTAGTAAGTATGTATGTATCTATGTATATATGTATAGGGTCCCCAGATTCATTGAAAAAAATCTGGTAACCTTAGTCTGGACCGCTTTGTTTCTTGACTAAAACGTTGACGGGTATTTCAGGTGCCAGGGGCCTTCCGAGAGGCTGCTGTGACCTTCGCTGGAAATGTGGAGGCATCGCCGGAAACAACCCAGAGGCAGCTTGGTGGGGAGTTCAAGCGGGGAAATGAGGGGGTCTCCAGCGTGCTGGGTAAGGGCTCACCCCCCGCCGTGAATTGTCGTTTCAAGTAGGTATAATGCCCTGATGCAGGGAATCACCAACATGGGGTGCTCGGCCCCTTCTGTGACGCCCATGAAAGGTCTCAGTAGAGAAACCCCTCAAAAATCCACAATCCACAACAGACTTGTTTCTTCTTCCTGCTCAGTTCCTGTTTGCATTGACTTAGCCATTCCTACATAGATAGCTTTTTGGCTCCACGAAGCTGATTGGCCTTGAAGATGAAATTTAGCAGGTGGGCGGGGACACTCCCTGTCAATCACCTGATGTCGCAATAACATCAGATGGAAGGTGCCGCTAAAACGAAAGTGTTTTCCCTCCCTCCTTCATTTTAAGCGGGGCGTTCTGACGCAAACACCATCCTGTTTCACATCTGGTCTAACCCCACCCCCAGTCTGGGTGAAAGAACATGATTTGCAAATGAGAGGTTCTTTCTGCAGCTTAACTTGTTGCACCCCTAGCTCATGGGATCATAGAATTGTAGCTTTGGAAAGGATTTTGAGGGTCATCTGGCCCAAACACCCGCAATGCAGGAATCTCAGCTGAAGCATCCATGACAGATGGCCTTCTAAAAACCTCCAATGAAGCAGGTTGATTTTATTTATTTATTTATTTATTTATTTATTTTATATTATATTCATACATATCACATACCCCGCCCATCTGGCTGGGTTTCTCCCGCCACTCTGTGTGGCTTCCAACAGAATATTAAAATACAATAGTCTATTATAAAAGCTTCCCTAAACAGGGCTGCCTTCAGATGTCTTCTAAAAGTCTGGTAGTTGTTGTTCTCTTTGACATCTGGTGGGAGGGCATTCCACAGGTTGGGTGCCACTACCGAGAAGGCCCTCTGCCTGGTTCCCTGTAACTTAGCTTCTCGCAGGGAGGGAACTGCCAGAAGGCCCTTGGCGTTGGACCTCAGTGTCCGGGCAGAACGATGGGGGTGGAGACGCTCCTTCAGGTATACTGGGCTGAGGCCGTTTAGGACTTTTTTTGTTGTTGTTGTATAAGATATTTATTGAGGGGAAGTAAAAGCCCATGGATCCTCAGCATTTTTACATTGGGTCACCCCAGATTCACCATCAGATCACATAACATGTCCATGGCTACAGCCTGCACCAAAAATATCACGCACCCACTGTTGCGTGGGGCCGCAATGGCGCAAAAACATGGTTACAAAGCACGGATCCACATGGATCCTCAGGATTTTTGCATTGGGCTACTCCAAACTCACTGTCAAATCACATGTCTGTGGCCACAGCATGAACCACAAAAATCATACATCCACTGTTTCGTTCAGAATCCCCCCCCCCCGTTTTCCTCCTCTAAAAACTAGGTGCGTCTTATGGAGCGAAAATACGGTAAATATTGCCTTCAGACAGATGGGTGGGGTACAAATAAAAAAAATTATCATCCTCATCATCACTCGATAACCCTCTCCTCCATGAATTTGTCTTTTTTAAAATCAGTGGCTGTTGGTGCTTCTTGTGGCAGTGAGTTCCACAGTTTAACTGTGAAATACTTTTCTTTGGTCCAACGTTCGGCTTCATTGGATGTCTGGCATTATGGGAGCGCGAGAAGCACGTTATCAGTGTTCCCCACGGCTTGCGTTTCCTTTTCCGTGCCACGCATTAGTTTTCCCTCCTAAAAATAAAATAAATGTGACAAGCAGCCCATAAGATGGACCGCGCATAATTTTATAAAGTTCTGCCTCGTTGCCTCTTTCTCACATTTCCCTCTAAACCAAAAAAATCCCCAAATGTTGAAACCTCTCCGCATGTGGGAGACGTTCCGACTTTGGCTGGTGTTTCCTGAAACTCTTCCCAACTCCACGATACCCTTTTGGGAGGGTGGGGACCGCATGGGGAGAGCAGTGTTGTTAGCAGAAATATGAATCACCCCACACTTAGTCCTTTTACAATTTCTCTCTTTGTTGGAAGCTGCCTTAAAGGTAAAGGGACCCCTGACCATTAGGTCCAGTCGTGACCGACTCTGGGGTTGTGGCACTCATCTCGCTTTATTGGCCAAGGGAGCCGGCGTTCAGCTTCTGGGTCATGTGGGCAGCAGGACTAAGCTGCTTCTGGCGAACCAGAGCAGCGCACAGAAACGCCGTTTACCTTCCTGCTGGAGCGGTACCTATTTATCTACTTGCACTTTGATGTGCTTTTGAACTACTAGGTTGGCAGGAGCAGGGACCGAGAAGTGGTCAGCCAGATGGGCGGGGAACAAAAGAATAAATAAATATGATAATTCCAGATCCAACACAATTAGCCTTCCTCCCCTGTCTAGCCACCGCCGGTATGAAATTGTGTCTTCATTTTTTCTTTTTTTAAAATCATTTTTATTGATTTTCCAATAAAAATAGCCAATCAAGATACCCGAATCATAATCCAATTAAAAATAATAAACTAAAAAAAAACAACCAAATTGTAGTTATTAATTTTTACAGGCTCCCTATAGTCTGGACCTCTGAAGCATATCTCCAAATTTTCTTCCTGCCTCTTCTCGTTGCTTTCATATTTTCCTCCTTCTGATCTTAACGCTTTAAAGTTCTCCGTCCCTGGCTATGCCAAACTGCAAAATGTGCTCTCTGTTAGGGAGTGTTGTGTATTGAGTCAAAGGACTTTATATCTGTATTATTAGTGTCTGTATTTGCATTAGGGTAAAGTAACTGCCCTTTGGTTCCAGAGGGTACAGCTACTATTGGTTCATTTAAGCTGCTGTATTTGGATCCTCTGTCTTATTGGTTTCCTCCAAAAGGCAGGACTGTGATTGCCTGATATTGTTCCCTCCAAAATGTATCCTTTCTAGCTAGTTCCCTGTCCCTATAAATGTAGCTCTCCCCTCCTCAGGTCTTAAGTCTTGTTTGCTTTAATATAGACGCGCCAGCATATACAACAGGGAGAACACACTTTCCAGGAAGGGAAACTCCCAGGAGCTGAAAACTGAAAAAGCGAAACTTAAGGGACTCTTCAGCACGAGGGAGCCATGGCTGCTGCAGGGGGTCACATCCAGCGTCTCCGTGATGAAGCCACTTGCCCCATCTGCCGAGATTACTTCAAGGATCCAGTGACCATCCCAGAGTGTGGGCACAACTTCTGCCGATCCTGCTTGGCCCAGTGCTGGGGGGAGGCAGAGGCTTCCTGCCCTCAGTGCAGAAAAAGTCCACAGAGAAGGAGCCTCGTCCAACCGGCAACTGGCTAATATGGTGGAAATAGCCAAGAATCTCGGCTTTCAAGAGGGAAAGGAGGAAGGAGGGAAAGGGAGAATCTGCGAGAAGCACCAGGAGCCCCTGAAGCTCTTCTGCAAAGTCCATGAAGCCCCCATCTGCCTGGTGTGTGACAGATCCAAGGAACATGAAAATCACAAGGTGATTCCTCTGGAGGAGGCTTCCGAGGAATACAAGGTAGGAGATCCCTGGATCTGGAGGGGGAGAAATAAATAGCTGTGGATTCTTCTTGGGAGGTTTTCTTTTGAATTCTCAGGTCCAAAGTAGCCATGGCATGAATTGGTCATTGTTTATCACCTTGGAAGCAGCCCAGGGGAAACCAGAGGGCTCCTGGGGTGGCTGGAGGGGGGAGTTGAAGTCTTTCTCTCTGCCAGGGGGACAAGGGGATCTTGAAAGATTTGAACTGGGACCTTGGCAGGGAGAGAAAGGGTTAACCTCGTCCACATCCCCCTGAAAGGTTGCTATGTACGCCTTAAGAACAGTACAAATGTAAATGGCACATACACAACTAAGTACATGTCTCCTCAATGCCCTGCAAAACAGAGAGCAGCAAGGGATCAGCTGGGGGCGGGCGGGGACTGTTAGCCAGGAGTTGACCAGATGGTGCAGGATCCCACCCCCCAAGTATCTGTTGGAAGCAGATTTGGGAGTGGAAGGAGCTACTGGTGGCTTAATCTGGGGGTGCTGTGGAGCCTGTGCAATGAGGTTTCAGCGGGGGTGGGGGGCTGAGGATCTCCTCCCACCCCAAATGGCAAAGGACTCCGTGGTTCAGAGTAGCATCTGCAAAGACCAGGGGGAAAGATGACTTTTTCATGGCAACTCGGAATTGGACATGTGCAATTATATACTATATATAATGCCTTTTAATTCCTTTTTAAAAATCACTTGTTCTACTAAAAAGGTAAAGGTACCCCTGCCCGTACGGGCCAGTCTTGACAGACTCTGGGGTTGTGCGCCCATCTCAGTCAAGAGGCCGGGGGCCAGCGCTGTCCGAAGACACTTCGGGGTCACGTGGCCAGTGTGACAAAGCTGCATCTGGCGAGCCAGAGCCGCACACGGAAACGCCGTTTACCTTCCCGCTAGTAAGCGGTCCCTATTTATCTACTTGCACCCGGGGGTGCTTTCGAACTGCTAGGTTGGCAGGCGCTGGGACCGAACAACGGGAGCGCACCCCGCCGCGGGGATTCGAACCGCCGACCTTTCGATCGGCAAGCCCTAGGCGCTGAGGCTTTTACCCACAGCGCCACCCGCGTCCCTCTTGTTCTACTACAGTGGTGCAAAAATGCTCCTGTGCCATGCAGTGCTACTAATGCCACGAAATAGTAATAATAGTGGGGGAAAGCTGGTCCCTTTGAATTGGCAGGATGACTAGGCAGCAATCTTCTGACCGAAGGAGCTGCCTGGCTGGATTCTGGCCGCAGCCAGAACTTCTTTGGCCCAGAAATGGAAGAAGCTGCAGCACTTAAATCTCCCCTGGTTGCCCAAGCACACTTGGGGTCTGGCTACTGCAGAGAAAATAACTGACAAATAGCAGAAAACCTGAATTGCCATCTGACCCGAAAGAGGGGTTTGGAATGGGTGAAGTTTTGAGAAGCGCTGCTCTATCTCTGCATCTCTCGCCTCTTGGGCTGACCTCACTAGTATCTCTTTGACGCTAGACTGATACATCCCAGGTTGGATCCTGCCTTAGCCCTTCCTCCTCCTCCTCCTCCTCCTCCTCCTCCTCCTCCTCCTCCTCCTCTTCCCCCTTCTCCCTGAGACCTCAAGGTGAGAAGTCAGGCTGGGACTCCCAAGGAAAGGAGAGGAGGCTGAGAGATCACTCCACAAGGGAGGGTGTTTGAGAAAAGGTGAGGGGCTGCCAGCTCTGCAAGGAAGGGGGACCTAACTGAGATCCTGAGCCCCACAGGGCTGCCGCAGAAAGAAGGTAGTTGACCCATGGAGCCGTGGACCCCAAAAGGCTGAAAACCTCTGTGCTTTTATTTCCTCCAGGAAACTACTTTGCTATTCTAGCAAGGCCACTGGGCGCAAGAAGCCATTGTGATTTCCATCTCTCTGTGTGTCTCAATCAAAGCTGAGTTTTTCCTTTTCTCTTTAGGGAGAGATCTGTCACCGCCTGGAGATTCTGAGGAAAGAGAGAGGAAATTCTGGCCTATCGAGCAGATCTGGACAAGGAAAGCAAAGACCTCCTGGTAAGTGTCTCTATTGTTACTCGACAGGGAACAAGCACTTGAGACCTCCAGGTATAGGGCAGTATATAAATTCAATAGAGAAGAAGAGGAAGAGGAAGAAGAAGAAGAAGAAGAGAGTCAGGACTGAGGAGGGATGGAGAAATCTGCCCGTTTCAGCTTCTCCTCATTTCTCCTTTTTCCACATCAGTCTGTTATGAATCAGATGTTAGGGTAGCTACCTCCTTGTATAAATATTTTGATCTGTACTTTACCCTCATAAATACATTTTTTGTGAATATTACCTGGCTGGGTCCAGCTTGAAAATATCAGAATTTTAAAACTCTGTTTTGGTCTCCGTATTTTTTCAGCAAGAGCAAATTAGGTAATGTTACGGAAAAATCCCGGGTGCGGAGTTGTCCTGTCACCCAGCTCGTCGGACAAAGTCCGCGGGTCCTAGCGGAGAAAATAAGCTCAGCCGGACGCAGGAGCAAGATGCGGAGATCCGAGGTTTATTGCGCAACAGGTTCAAGACGAGATTGAACCCCGAGAATGGGGCGACATAAACTTTTAAAAGTTCCCTCCGAGTCCCAGAATACAGTGCAAGAAACGTCATGAATACATTATGGGAAGGTTGGGTTTCACGAGTTGCATCATGAATACATTACACACGTCATGAATATATTAAAGAAAGGTGGGGTTCCACTAATTAACATTTTAGATAAGGGGGGGGGGAACATGCAGAGTGAGAGATATGCATAGATAAACATTTCTTGAGTACCGGTGGTGGCAAGACAATAGTCCAGAGATATGCATCGTCTGCCACCTAGTATTGCCCGGAGGAAGGGTTAGGCGGAACGATTTGACAGGATTAGGAAGTTCCTGTGTACGTGACCTGCCGTTTCGGGGATTATGGAAGTAGGGGTAGCATCGTGGAGTCCAAAGGGAGCTGAGTTGAACGGCACCAAGAGCGAGGAAATCGGAGTTACGGTTGATTTTATATCAATTTCCAAAGGTTTCCGTATTTTCCAGCCTATTTCGTATTGCTGATCAAAAGCGGAAACAGAATGGATACATTGTAACAGAATGGATACATTGTAGCAAGACTGACAGTTTTACGAGGTCCGGGGTTTCGATTCCATTGTTCTCGCAGTGGGGGGCCGTCAGCAGCTTGTCAGGAGGTGAAATGAGGCGTGCAGTAGCTCCCTGAGCTAGCTTCTGCAGGGCGAATGCATGGCTGTGATTGGCTAAAACGCGGCCCATTATAGTGAATGGGGATACAATATGATACGGTCTCTACTCACGTTAGAAATAGGGCGAGAGGAAGGCATAAGAAAGATGGGGCTTATTTTGCCCGTATAAAGATAGGAAAAGAAAGCCTTTTATTCACAAGGCAGGGGTATAGGGGTATAGTGTAGTGCTTGTGCAACGGTGTGGGGGCTGAGGGTTCTAGGCAGAGCTGGGCACTGTCGAGGTCATCGCCTCGGACCCCTTCAGAAAGTGGTGGGGAGGGGACAGGTACCCCCCTTCCTCCTTCCGTATCAGGTAAGTTCACCTTTGAATGCAGCTAAATTGTGTTTATTTCCCCTTGTCCTTTATTATGTGAATAGCAGTCAAGGAGAAGCTTGAGGACTTGTGAGCTGAAAGGGTGGAAGCAATTCAATCCAAATCCTGATTTACTATAAATATTACTAAAGAACTGAATTCTAAATGTGCTCTCTTGTTCATTTTTAGGAAACTCAGGCTTTTTTTAAACCTTTAAAGAAACAGGGGAGCTCTGGGGATGAACTCTGCACTTTGTCCTCCTCTGTTTCTGTTTCTTCCTACACCTAAATGGCCCCAGTCTAAACTGAGGGGTGTTTTATGTCTCTGATGTTCTCTGAACAACTGTGAACTCTGGTTATGCCATGCCCCAAAATGCAGGGATAATCCATGGCTAGGAAAAAAGAGCTCCTTCCTTTAGGCTGTATCCGTCTGCAAAATAGAAGTCAACAGAAACAGCAATGGAGAGGGCCTCCCCTCAAAATATAGGTTTACTTCTTTAGCCACTGGAGGTTTCATGTCTATAGAAAAATCAGAAGTGTCCTTCCTCCCTGTGGAATTCTCATAATTTTCTTTCTGCTGTTTCGAGGCTAAGCACATGTTACGGAAATTACGGGGGGGGCACATCTTTAAAGTTAAATATTACAAATATTATGCCTGAATATATCCTTCCAACTTGACAGCTCAGGAAAGTCACCTAGCTTTAAAAATAATATAAAATCATCTCCTTTCCAGTTCCCCCATTCCAAAGCTATTTTCCCCTTGCAAAAGGACTCCAGGAAGTTCTCAGAGGTGACAATTGCTGGGCTCATTGTTAGCCAAGGGAAGCCAAATCTCATCACCCGACTCCCTCAGGCTCCAGACATGCAAAGGGACTTCTATTGTAC